GTAAAGTAAAAGTGGGGGATGGGGCGAAGGGGAGGGGGAGGGCAGGGGAAAGGACCCAGCCGCAAATATGAATACGAAAAAAAAAACGCACCTCTCCGTCCCCGCGGGACTCAACCGGACGTGGTTCAGAAACGTGCCGCTGCTGCTCTTGGTGTCGCGGATGAAGAACTTGGGCGCCGCGCCGTTGGTGCCTAGCAAGGGGAAAACGCGGTGGTCAGGAGCGGTTTAAAAAAAAAAACGAGTGAAGGGTAAAAGTGCGTGCCAGGGAAGGGGAGGAGGGGGGGAGGAGGAAGGTGTGATACCCCCAAAACAAAACGAAAGATGAGACGAAAAAGTGCGCGCTCCATCCACACCGGCGCGCGCCCGTGCAAAGAACGTCAAGAAAGCAAAACAAAAACCTAAGCGCGGCGAGAAGGGAGAAGAAGTCCGCAAAAGGGTGGTGGTGGGTCCCGGGCGCGCACACGCCCCAGTGCGCAGGTCGCAGGCACTTTGAGAGCGAAAGTGAGCCCCGACCCCGCAGGTGCGCGCGCAAAGCGCCGTCCGCCTCCCGCCCCGCCCACTCCGCATGACAGCGGATATCAGTAGCAAAACAACGTCAAGAAAAAGAGAATGAAACGCAGACAATGAGGCAGCGAGACACGAGACACGCACCCTCCTCACACCACACCTCGGCATGCGCCCTGCTGACGACCTTGCTCTTGAACGCGATCTTGGAGCCGTTGAGGGCGTTGACGGCGGACAGGCCGAGGCCGCTTCTGTCTGTGAATCGACCTGCGCCGCGTTAGCGAGGGCGAGAGAGGAAGCAGGACGTGCACCCACCTATCCTCAACGCGGGATCCAACGGCACGGGGCGCAAATCGCGGCTGATAGGGTCGAAGCGCAGACTCCTGCGCGAGTCGAGGTGCGGGACGAGGCGGATGCGGTGCGTCGGCCCCCCTGCTGCCGTGGCATTCCCTGCCCCAGCAGAACTAGAAGGCGGCGGATGCGTGCGACTGGGCGCAACATGCGGCGTCGGCGTCGGCGGCACCACCCCGCCCCCCGTCGTCGGCGTCGCGACGTTCCCCGCGCTGCGCCGCCGCCTTAGCATGTGGCTCAGATTCAGCCCGCCCCCGCCGCCGGACGACGGCTGCGGCGCGACGACGACGGCGGGCGGCGCGGGCCGGCGGCGGTTGCTGCTGCCCCCCGCGGTCCCGCCGCCGCCCAGTCCCTGTCCCTGGCCAGGCGACGCCCCCGCGGCGCCGTGCCCAAACGCCGGAATGCCCATCATCACGCCCACGTTCGCCGCGCTCGCGTTCGCGGCGTTGGCCGCGCGCTCCCGCGCCAGCTCGCGATCGCGCTCGCTCGCGGCCATCCCTGCGAACGGGTTCATGCCGGGCGGGGCGTGGTGCGGGGGCGAGGGCGACATCTCCCTGGTGGCGTGCGGGTGCTGCAGGGCGGGCACCTCGATGTGGGACTGCGAGCTGTTGCGCGGGCGGCCGCGGCCGAGGAAGGAGCCGAGGATCCCGCCGCCGCTGCTGGTGGCGCGCGCTGCTGCTGAGTCGGGCGTGGGCGAGTCCATTTCTTTCCCTGTCACAGAGAAGTCCGAGTCCGAGTAATCCGAGAGCGAGTAAGAGTAATGAACCGCAAGAACAACAGGCAAGAGGCGAGGAAGGCGGAGGGCGAGAGCAAGGTGGGGTCGATGGATGATGCGCGAGGGGCGTGACGCGTGACGAACAAGAGGCCGAAAGAGGATTGCTATCACCGGGTGCCTCGCTGAGCCTCGTCCAGGTCCGAGAGGCACTGTTTTCTTTCTTCAAATCGATATTTGGTTTTGCGGTCCCGACACCGATTCTCCGCCTCCACGTCCGACTTTGAGACGCATATGATAAATTGAAGAATAGGCATCTCACACCGCACACCGCTGGTTATTTTCACCCATCATCCGTGCTGCTCACCCCCCATTTTATGGACGGACGCCACCAACGCGAATGAACCAAAAAATGATCGAACCTAGCAGCTCATGCGGATGCCAGGAATCGAACCCGGTTCTGCTGTCTTCAAACTTCAACAAAGACAAGGAGGCAACAAGGAGGACAGCCGTGTACTATACACCACATCCGCTTTGCTGCCTACATTTAACCTCGGCTAGGCACCATATTTCCTCTCCCGGGCCAATGCTGGTATTATAATCATTTGCACAAGCCCAGTTTACGCAGCGGCCAGCCTGCGACCGCAATCTTCTGTGACTCGGAACCACACCCGTCATTTGAAGAGAGGCTAAAAAACCTGATGAATAAATTGAAAAAAAAGGAATAGATTTACCTGAAAAAAAGCTAGGGAGACAGACATGAATGTGGGTGCCGGGAATCGAACCCAGTTCTGCTGTCTACAAGGTTGGGACGCGCAAGACCAGGAAGGGCAGCCGTGTACCATACACCACACCCGCTTTCCTGCCTACATTTAACCTCTGCTAGCCTCTAGGCAGATTTCCCGGCCAATGCTTAATATTTCGCAACTTACATTACTGGGGTCAACTTGAACCAGCCGTCCCATGCAATACCTCCCACCCCTTCTCGTTTGAGCGGAGGGTAGGTGAAAACCTGACAAAAAAACTGAAAAAAATACACAGAAACTGTGACACCCCTATGCGGATGCCGGGAATCGAACCCGGTTTTGCTGTCTACAAGCTTGGGCCTCGCCACGACTGGGAAGGCCAGCTGTGTACCATACACCACACCCACTTTCTTGCCTACATTTAACCTCGGCTAGCCACCACAGATTTTCCTCGCCAATGCTTAATATTTCACAACTTGGAGCCCATTTACACATTAAATGGAGGGTAAGGGTAGACCAGCCGTCCCATGCAACACCCCTCACCCCTTCTCATTTGAGCGGAGGCTAACTGAACGCACGAAAAAACCTGATGAATACATTGAAAATAAAAAGCTGAGGAGACACGCATGCCAGTGCGGGAGCCGGGAATCGAACCCGGTTCTGCTGTCTTCAAACTTCAACAATGACAAGGAGGACAGCCGTGTACCATACACCACACCCACTTTCCTGCCTACATTTAATCTCGGCTAGGCACCACAGATTTTCATTTACACATTAAATGGCGGGTAGGGGTAGACCACATTGAAATTTGAGCAGAGGCTGACTGAACGCACGAAAAAACCTGATGAATACATTGAAAAAAACACATAGATGTCTTGTATGCGGATGCCAGGAATCGAACCCGGTTCTGCTGTCTACAATCTTGAGGGACGGCTGATGAAGGGCAGCTGTGTACCATACACCACACCCACTTCCCTGCCTACATTTAACCTCTGCTACGCATCACAGATTTTCCTGGCCGATGCTTAATATTTCACAACTTAAAGCCCATTACACCTTATATTACTAGGGTAAGGGTAGACAAGCCATCCCATCCAATACCTCCCACCTCTTCTCATTTGAGGCAGGGCTGGGTGAACACGCGAAAAAACCTGATGAATAAATTGAAAAAAAAAGCTTGGATTCAGAATACCTCTTTATGCGGATGCCAGGAATCGAACCCGGTTCTGCTGTCTTCAAACTTCAACAAAGACAAGGAGGCAACAAGGAGGACAGCCGTGTACCATACACCACATCCGCTTTGCTGCCTACATTTAACCTCGGCTAGGCACCATATTTCCTCTCCCGGGCCAATGCTGGTATTATAATCATTGCAAAGCCCAGTTACGCAGCCCGCGACCGCAATCTTCTGTGACTCGGAACCACACCCGTCATTTGAAGAGAGGCTAAAAAACCTGATGAGTAAATTGAAAAAAAAAGGAATAGAGATACCTGAAAAAAAGCTAGGGAGACAGACATGAGTGTGGGTGCCGGGAATCGAACCCGGTTCTGCTGTCTACAAGCTGGCGATTGAGCACGACCAGGAAGGGCAGCCGTGTACCATACACCACACCCGCTTTCCTGCCTCCTTTGATTCTTGGTTAGGCACCACAGACTTTCCTGGCCGATGCTTGATATTTCACAACTTGAAGCTATATTAGTAAATGGAGGGTAAGGGTCAACCAGCCATCCCATCCAATACCCCCCACCCCTTCTCATTCGAGGCAGGGCTCGGTGAATACAAAAAAACCTGATGAATAAATTGAAAATAAAAAGCTAAGGAGACACGCATGCCAGTGCGGGAGCCGGGAATCGAACCCGGTTCTGCTGTCTTCAAACTTAGGATCAGCACGATGAGGAAGGGCAGCCGTGTACCATACACCACACCCGCTTTCCTGCCTACATTTAACCTCTGCTAGGCGTCACAGATTTCCCGGCCAATGCTTAATATTTCACAACTTACATTCCTAGGGTCAACTTGAACCAGCCATCCCATGCAATACCCTCCACCCCATCTTATCTGAGGCAGAATACAACAAACCTGACAAATAACTTGAAAAAAAGCTAGGGAGACACAGATCGTGGGTGCCAGGAATCGACCCCGGTTCTGCTGTCTACAAGCTTGGGACTCGCCACGACCAGGAAGGACAGCCGTGTACCATACACCACACCCGCTTTCCTGCCTACATTTAACCTCTGCTAGGCACCACAGATTTTCCTCGCCGATGCATTTAATGTTTCACGACTTGGAGCCCATTGGCACATTTACTAGGGTAAGGGTCAACCAGCCGTCCCATGCAATACCCCCCCACCCCAAGTTCTCATTTGAGCAGAGGCTAACTGAACGCACGAAAAAACCTGATGAATAAATTGAAAAAAAAAAGCTAGGATTCGGAAGGCACAAATGTTGATGCCGGGAATCGAACCCGGTTTGCTGTCTACAAGCTGGGGATTCTTTGCTGCCTACATTTAACCTCAGCTAGACACCATATTTCCTCCTGGGCCAATGCTGGTATTATGATCATTGCACTAGCCCAGTTACGCTGTGACCGCAATCTTCTGTGACTCGGAACCAACCACACCCATCGTTTGAGGAGAGGCTAGAAAATCTTGTCGATAATTTTTGTTAGAAGCTAGGGAGACACGGACATGGGTGCCGGGAATCGAACCCGGTCCTGCTGCCTACAATCTCCCAACTGGAAACGACACATGAAAGGCAGCTGTGTACCATACACCACACTCACTTTCCTGCCTACATTTGACCTCGGCTAGGCACCATAGATTTCCCTGGTGAATGCTTGATAATATTTCATAACTTACATTACTATATGGTCAACTTGAACCAGCTGTCCCACCCAATATTACCACACAGCCCTTCTCATTCGAGGCAGGGCTGGCAAAACTGATGAATAAAAAAAGCATAGAAACACTCCTATGCAGATGCCAGGAATCGACCCCGGTTCTGCTGTCTACAAGCTTGGGATTCACGACGACGAGGAAGGGCAGCCGTGTACCATACACCACACCCACTTTCCTGCCTACATTCAACCTCGGCTAGGCACCACAGATTTTCCTCGCCAATGCTTAATATTTCGCAACTTGGAGCCCATTTACACATTAAATGGAGGGCAAGGGTAAACCAGCCGTCCCATCCAACGACGCATATGATAAATTGAAAAATAGGCATCTCACGGCGCACATTGAACACGCGGGTTATTTTCACCCATCATCCCTGCTGCTCACCCCTCATTTCATGGACGGACGCCCCCCACTGTGAATGAACCAAAAAAAATATCAGGCCCTAGCTCACGCGGATGCCGGGAATCAAAACCGGTTCTGCTGTCTTCAAACTTCAACAATGACAAGGAGGACAGCCGTGTACCATACACCACACCCACTTTCCTGCATACACTTAACCTCAGCTAGACACCATATTTCGTCTCCCAGGCCAACACTCATAATCATTGCACACACCCAGCTACACTGTGACCACAATCTTAAAAACCTTATTTGAAAATAAAAATGCTAGGGAGACACAGATGCCAGTGTGGGTGCCGGGAATCGAACCCGGTTCGCTGTCTACAATCTCACAAGGGACAACAATGGACGGCTCATGAAGGGCAGTCGTGTACCATGCACCACACCCACTTCCCTGCCTACATTTACCCTCTGCTAGGCACCATAGTTCCTCTCCTGGACCCGGGCCAATGCTGGTATTATAATCATTGCACAAGCCCAGTTACACTGCGACCACAATCTTTTACGAACCAGACCGGTCCTTTGAGGAGAGGCTAAAAAACCTTCAAGGTCGATAAACTGAAAAAAAACAAAGACACATACAAACCCGTCTATGCGGATGCCAGGAATTGAACCCGGTTCTGCTGTCTACAAGCTGGCGATTGAGCACGACCAGGAAGGGCAGCTGTGTACCATACACCACACCCACTTTCCTGCCAGTGCCTACATTTAACCTTGGCTAGGCACCACAGATCTTCCCGGCCAATGCTTGATATTTTACAACTTTACACATTAAATGGAGGGTAAGCCTGAGGGTAAACCAGCCGTCCCATGCAATACCCCCCACCCCTTCTCATTCAAGGCAGCACTGGGTGAACACACAAAAAAACCTGACGAATAAACCGAAAAAAAAGAAACGGAGATCTAGACACGGATGCCAGTGCGGGAGCCGGGAATCGAATCCGGTTTTGCTGCTTCAAACTTCAACTCTGCAAGACCAGGCAGGAAGGGCAGCTGTGTACCATACACCACACCCACTTTCCTGCCCACTTCAATTTTTGGTAACACACCGCATATTTTCCTGGTGGTTCACAAAGCTCTTAATCAGTGCACAAGCCTAGTTACGCAGCCTGCGACCAGCGGTCTTCTGTGACTCGGAACCACCGCTGTAATTTGAGCGGAGGCTAGGTGAATACAAGAAAACCTGATGGATAAATTGAAAAAAAAAAAATGTACATAGAAACCCGGCAGCCGTGTACCATACACCACACCCGCTTTCCTGTCTACATTTACCCTCCGCTAGGCACCACAGATTTTCCCGGCCAATGCTTAATATTTCACAACTTGGAGCCCATTATATTAGTAATTGGAGGGTAGCCGTCCCACGCAATACCCCCAAACCCCTTGTCATTCGAGGCACAGCTGGGTGAATACAGCAAACCTGATGAATAATGAAAAAAAAGCATAGAAACACTCCTATGCGGATGCCAGGAATCGAACCCGGTTCTGCTACAATCTCACAAGGGACAGCAAGAAACAGCTCATGAAAGACAGCCGTGTACCATACGCCACACCCGCTTCAAGTTTGCTGCCCACATTTAACCTCGGCTAGCCACCCCAGATTTTCCCGGCCAATGCTCAATATTTCACAACTTCGAGCCCATTTACATTAAATAGTACTAGACCAGCCGTCCCGTCCAATGCACCACACACCCCTTCTCACTCGAGGCAGGGCTAGGTGAATACAAAAAACCTGATGAATATTTAAACTGAAAATAAATGACAGGGAGAGAATGGATGTGGGTGCCAGGAATCGAACCCGGTTTTGCTGTCTACAAGCTTGGGATTCACGACGACCAGGAAGGGCAGCCGTGTACCATACACCACACCCACTTTCCTGCCTACATTTAACCTCTGCTAGCCTCTATGCAGCACAGGTTTTCCTGGCCAATGCTAATATCGCACAACTTACATCACCAGGGCAAGGGTAGACCAGCCGTCTCATGCAATACCCCCACCCCTTCTCATTCAAGGCAGGGCTGGGTGAATACAAAAAACCTGACAAATAAATTGAAAAAAAAAGTGAGGGGGACACGGATGTGGGTGCCGGGAATCAAACCCGGTTCTGCTACAATCTCACAAGGGACAACAAGAGACAGCTCATGATGGGCAGCCGTGTACCATACACCACACCCGCTTTCCCTTCCTTTCTTCAAGCCCAGGTAGCTTGAGGTGCAAAAAAAAAAACACCACCGCAACTTGAACCACAACAGATTTTCCCGGCCAATGCTTGATATTTCACAACTTACCTTACTAGGGTAAGGGTAGCCCAGCCGTCCCAGGCAATACCGCCCACCCCTTCTCATTTCAGGCAGGCCTAGGTGAATACAAAAAACCTGACAAATAACTTGAAAAAAAGCTAGGGAGACACGGATCGTGGGTGCCAGGAATCGAACCCGGTTTTTCTGTCTACAAGCTTGGGATTCACCACACTCAGGAAGGGCAGCCATGTACCTTACACCACACCCGCTTTCCGGCCTACATTTAACCTCTGCTAGGCACCACAGATTTTCCTGGCCAATGCTTAATATTTCACAACTTACATTACTATGGTCAACTTGAACCAGCCGTCCCGTCCAATGCACCACACACCCCTTCTCATTTGAGCGGAGGCTAACTGAACACACAAAAAAACCCTGATGAATAAATTGAAAAAAAAGGTAGGGAGAGATTGGATATGGGTGCCGGGAATCGAACCCGGTTCTGCTGTCTAGAATGTCACAAGAGACAACGAGGGATGGCTAATGAAAGGCAGCCGTGTACCATAAACCACACCCACTTCTGAGCTGGGTATAATTTTCAAACCTGGTTTGGGACACGGGAATTGAACAAACAAGTTGAAACAGTAGAAAAATCAATCATGACTTGTCGGATATGGGGAGTCAAACCCCGCACTTTATCATGTGGAGGTCATTGTGATTGGCTAAGACAGCTTAAATAAATAAATATTCCAAGTCAACAAGCATGCCTGCATAAATAAGTACACAGATAACAGAATGGAAACAACTACATAATCATTGAAAGCGCTCAGACCACCGCCAACACAGCCTCTTCTTCTTCCAACTCGCTCTCATATAAATCCTCATCAGCCTCCTCCGCCTTTCCAGTAGGAGCAGTGAGTTCTGCGAGTCGAGCCACATTGCTTCTATGCTGTTCCCTCAGATCCTCACCTACCTCAGCCAGCCTCTCATCAATATCTTGAACCCGCTTGGCCTGAGACGAGCGCTCAAAGAGGGGTCTTGCTGTTTCCCAGAGCTCCAGTGCCTTGAGTAAATCACCATGTTTCTTGGATATATCCCCAAGTCGGATCATGCACTCTGCTCTGCTGCGGTGGACATCCATCTGGCTAAACCCCTCTAAGGCCAGGGTGAACAGAGAGATGGATGTGGCTTCCTCATTATCCCGAAAGAAAACATCACCTAAAAATTGTAACCCCTTGTAGGTTCCTAGTCTCTCTTTTGCCTTGAGAGAATTTGCAAGAAGAACAGCAGGCCAACAGGTTGGATGATAACATCCCTCCCAGCGATTGACATCTGCAAGTCTCTCCAGACAGTAATTCACTGCCTCAGAGTGCTTCCCCCAGCCAAGTTGAAGGCATTTACAAAACAATGTGCTCGATCTATCCCCCTCTCTGAGGTTGAGATCCGCCTGGGTGGCATCACATGCAATAGTTAATATTGTATTTCCGCTTGCTTTGAAAATGACCAGTGATGCATCAATCTTCTTTTGTATCTCCGCCTTTGAAACTCCCATCAATACCTCAATTTCAGCAATGTTGATCAGCGAAAGCCCTTGCTGGTGATTATCATTAGCTGTTTGTTGGAGAATCTGATTCTGGATGTTATGTGCCTCAACATATTCTGATTTGAGCTTGTGAACCTCACACTGAGTTTCCAGCATTGCATAGTTGAGCTGCCCATGAGACACACCACAAAGACCCAAAGTTGGTCTGCCCCTGATGATCAGGGCCATGCACTCTGGATATTCACCCAGTGACATCAAGCAAAGGGCCTCGTCATATAGCCCACGTGTCTCTTTGTACACATCCCCGGAGATTTTGGCAAGCCTCTGTGCCTCACGTGCAAGAGCTCGACCAGCAGCATGGTCACCCGCAAATGTTTCAATTCGTCCAAGGGTCCTAAGTGCATCACATTGCCCCCCGTAATTTCCATTGGACTGTGCCAAGGAGAGGGCAAACCGGCCATGCTGTGCAGCTGTGGAAATGTGGTTGTGTCCAAAGTAGTACCATGCTAGGATATCGTGAAAGTTGGCTGCAAATGTTTTTCAGCCCAGTGCATGAATATTGAACAGAGAACACACCCTCAAGATCGGGGTCATCAAAATACTTGAAGTGGTTCAAGGCTTCAACTATCAATGACTCTGAGTGGGAGATTGAATGATGTTGCCATGATCGGACCAGTTGAGTGATTAGATATGCTTTCAACCTATGGTCTCGCAAGGATGGTAGGAGTCTCGTGATATCCTCCAGAAGGGTAGTTGCTCCACGGGCAGTACGCACACTGAAGTGATTAAAATCACATGTGCAGTAAATAACATCCACAACATTGTGACACTCCCTCTGTAGGCTAGTTTGGAGGACATTCTGGATGTTTGTATAATTTGATGTTATCCGGTTGATGGGGACCGTCCCAGATGTTGTGCCAAAAGCTGCTAAGTACCATTCCAAGAGTTCATGAAAATGTTTCAAAAGTGGTTGTATCATCTGGTCTGTTGGAGGGAACAGTCTTCCCATGTATTCCCTGATAGGCACCAAGGCCTTCAACTGTTTGTGGTCATCAGTGTATGCCAAAGCAGTACACAGCAATGCAGCTCTACAACCAAGGATATCCTTGATTGGAAATTCTGTTTGCATGAGCTCCACGTCTGAAAGTCCATCAGGGAGCATAGACAACAAGGCCAATAAGTCCCGGGAATTGGGCATGGAGGTGATTCTGGGACTTGAGAGTGAGAGTGAAATAGACAACTCCAGGTTGGATCTTCTGTCATAGCCCTCAGAGATGAGGGAAGTTTTCTCTATCTTCCAGCGAGCTAATATCTCAGGGCAGCCTTCCACATCCACCAGATGGGCCAGGAGGCTGATTGAAAGTGGCATGTTGTCTGTGAGGGACAGGACCTGGTCCACTTCTTCCAGGCAATGCTTGTCGTCAGCAATATCAATGAACATCTTTCGGGCAGCATCCTGTGCCAAAGGCGGTAAGGGGAGTAAGAATGGTCGAGTCCACTGCACTTTGGATGGCCTTTCTGCTCCTCGCATTGTAATCTGGGGCTTCATGAGTGAGAGCGATGAGAAAAAGGGAAGTTTACAAACGACCAAAGCTAAACTGTTGATGTCTGTGAGAACAGACAAGAAATCTTCAATCTGATTGCGGGATTTAGGTGACTCCCACACCGTTTCGAGGTTATCCAAAATCAACAAAGTGGGTGGACTGCTAGAAAAGTGCTGTAAGACTGCTCGAGTGAGGTCTTTGCCAGGCTTCAGTCCAAGATGTGCTCCAATAAGACCTGTGAGTTCCTGTTTGCTTGATGCAGTGTCACAGGTAACAAAGAACCGATTCCCACGGTACTTGGTGGTTATCTCCTCATGGTGCACTACAATCCTTGCTAGACTGGTCTTTCCCATGCCACCTGCACCCAAAATAGCAATTCTTGGAGTCCCCTGGCCAAAAAGCCTGAGGATATCAACAAGCTGTGAGTTACGACCATGGAATATTTTTGGCTCCGCTGGTAGCATTGAAATGGAGTTGGAACTACAATTTCATAAGCACAATGAAGAGACGGTGTAATTAGAATCAAGCACCTTGTGTATGAGCCAGAGTACATCTTGCTAATCTTCAGGGCTGTTAGTACTGATACTCTCAAAGAACTGCTCACATACAGAGGATGCTGAATCTGAACTAGACATTGTTTCAAGGATGTCGAGTATCTCCTGGTGTCTAAGCTGAGCCTGGTCTTGCATCTCCCTCAAATTGGTCATGGTGTCCACAGTTTTGATCTTTGTGGGTGTCAGTGGCCATACAGTTTGAATGTGAGTACTTACATTAAAGAAATCAAACCCATGCTGCAATCCTGCCTTGCAATCCTTGAGTAGAGCAGCCAGTTCTCCCTGGCGGAAAAACTTCTTGACTTTGCTGCCACTTTGTTGAGCCTCAACAAAAGTGTGAATTTTGTGGAGGGTTCTAAATCCACAAGTCAGAAATGTAGATGGGGTTAGGGTATAGAAGTACTCGGTGAATTTTGCAATCTGATTCAATGTGCTTGGTAGCAATTCAGCACCTGTGTCTGAATTGATATAAACAGCAATAATTGTGTTGAGTAACTCATGAGTGTGCTCCATCAACTCAGCACACTCATTTTTATCCTGTTTGACAGTCTGCGACACCATCTCAGAGCTGTTTCAATGTGAATCCAGTGGAGATGTACCTGCAACAATTTCAAAAGCGACTGGATGGTATTGAAAATAGCCTCGAGGCCAGAAATTTTGAGCGTGTTCACGAGGA